TACATTTGAAATAACCAATAAAATCATAAATTACTATATCAATACCATAGAATTCCAAAATAATTTTATCAAGTTGTATTTGAGTCTAAAAAATGTGACATTTCGAGCAGACTAAAGACTCAAGTTACCTCCTTGAAATCTTGTTGTGAAAGAACAAGTTGATGTCATAATACATGAAAATGGCTCCTTTTTTTTTTCTTTGTTGAATAAATCTGAGAACATCATTCTCTCTCTAGGTGGACTGTGAAGACTTAACCAGTATAAAAAGTTAATTTGTTCAGTGTAGAATTGAATACTGTCACTGTTAAGTGATAACAATCTATGAATAATAATTTTATTAATTTTAAGATGGTTGTTTCTAGTAGAGAATTATAATTTAGAATCTGATTTTGATGTCACAATTACCAGTCATGAAGTTGGCTGTGAGTGGTATAAAATATGTCTGTAGTTCAAAGTTATAAATATAACATAAGTAAATCTGGCTCTTCGACACTTGTGCTACTTTACAACATAAATTTGGTTATCTTCAGCTCATATTGACAGTTTGTTTTTGCACACACACACAGACAGTATACTGCTCTAACTAACCTTCTATCTCTATGGAAACAGGTGGTACAATGTCTCACAAGATGGAAAAACTACTAGCCAATGAAAGAGAGAATCTAAAACTAGCATTCGATAAAGTGAGTCAAATAGATTCGAATTGTTTGTTATCTGTTTATTCGTATGATCAAGATAAATTATGTAAAAGCACGGTGTATTAAGAACATTATTATATAGTGCAAATCACGTAGATTTGAATATTTTTCTGGAAGAAATGATAAAATTGGCATTTTTTAGTAAAAACAAAACAGGAATTTAATTTTCCCATGTTTGGTTTACTAATCAATTATAGTTTGATTAACAGGTTCTAAGAAAATCCAGTGTTTTAGAAAGTTTAACTCATTTTAGATGCAAGAGCTTGGAGGTATTCCAATTTTGACTAAACCAACAGATATGTCTAACACCATTCCTGATGAGAAAGTGGTCATCACCCTGGTGACATACCTTAGTGCACGACTGATTGATCTCAGCGAAGAAATTCGTGCTGCCCGAATCCTACAACTTGCATGGAAGAGGAGACAAATTAGGCAGGAAGAAGCGAAAAGGAAGGTCTGTTCTGTTCTTTACACTAATGCTCTTCAACATTGCTTGTCTTTTTAAGTTACAATATGTAAATCTTAGTATGATATTTCATTTTCTTCTAATAGCAGATGTTACGATGTCAAACATGTTTTCTTTTGATAGAATGATTATTTATACACAGGATATCAAAAAATAATAAATTTTGTGAAATGTCTTGATATTTTATGGTAGATTTTAAACAACGTGAGAATTATTGGGGGTGGGTGGGAGTGCGTATTACGTGTTATGGTGCCGGTATGGATAACCAAAAAAGAGATATCTCCAGTAAGAGAGTGCCTAATGCATGTTGCTTTCTGTGGAGTTTAAGATTGTGACATATATGGAACATCTGTAATAAAGCTCGATGTACCTCATAAGACGGTTCTCTCTCGCTCGTATTGATTTCGTGGTATTAATTTGAGTACCCTCCTTCTTGACTCCCCCACAATCGTCTGGGGAATCTTAAAAAAGATCTTTCTTCGATGTAGGAAACATCTTATTGCAGAGTTGACACGGGAACTACGAGATGTAGAATGTATATTTTAATACGAAACTGGACACCTAAAAATTAAAACGTGAAGAACAAATCCACTTTATATCAGCAAAAATATTATCTTAAGACAAATACCAGAAGTTATGGCACATAATGCATTTTGTGCCTATTATATGTGATCCGTAGATTATCTTCCGTGTGCTATGTTGCATCACAGGAACACTGATAATACTTTTAACAAATCTTTATTGACTTTATAAGTGACTTATATAGGTAGCCTTTTCATAGAGTATTTTGGATATTACATACGTGACGAGCTATGGCGTTAACCAAAAAGCCTTGATGCCAGTGGCATGCGGCTCACAAATAAATGGTGTATGGTCAAGATTCCATTATTATTACTTATTAACCTGTATAAGTCTGGTTAAGAAAAGTATGTTACAAATTATTAGTTATGTGATGCAAATTGACTCAAAAATTAAAAAAAGTATTTTATATGGTTACATGGTATTCTGAAACTTTTTTTTTCCTAATATTGTGAAAATTATGCATTAGCAACAACTCATTTATTCCAGTTCAGCTGTTTAAGCGTACGACGTGCATGCTTTATTTATAATTAATTTCTAACAGTGATAAGTTTAACTAATCAAACTATTTCTAGAGTATGTAGTACTTTTGTTTTATATTGATATGTGTTGTCAGTATTTTGCATTGTTTGATAATGTTATGCTTTATGTTGCAGGCCAAAATCAAAGCTGCAACAGTTATTCAGAGAGCTGTTCGCAAGTTTCTACACCGGCAACAACTGACCAAACGAAACAGGGCAGCAACCATAATCCAGTGTGCCTTTAAATGTTTCGTAGCCAGGAAACAGTTGCAAAGCTTACAGCTAGAAAAACTATACCAGCACCAACAGCTTATGGCAGTTATTATTCAGGTTTGTTCTGATATGTTGTGATAGATAGTACTTAATTAAGGCTAAATGTAAAATGCAAGTATCTTTTCCTGTAAATAGAGACAAAAATGTGACATATGTTATGTTTCTATTGTATAAATAATGAGGTTTTGATACACCTGCATCTAAACAACGGAGGAAATTTATGTAACTAGTGTAAAGTTACGTCACATACATTTTCTGATATCTTGCATGTTTCTTTCCAGGCTGCTTACAGAGGCTTCAGAACAAGAAAGGAAATGAAGAGCAGATCAGTTGCTGCCGTTACCTTACAGAAGTATGTCCGCTGCTGGAAGGCGAGGAAATCTTACTTGAAATTAAAATTGGCTGTTAAAACAATCCAAAGCCAATATCATGCCCACTTAATAGGGTGTGCTCAGAGAAAAGAATATCTCTGTATGAGGAGTTCTGTCATCACCATCCAAGCTCTTGTCCGTGGTTGGTTAACCAGGAAAAGGCTTGAAAGACAGCAACGGGCAGCTGTTGTCATTCAAGCTGTGGTGAAAGGGTGGTTAGCTAGAATGAAATACCATCAAATCCGTGCCGCTGTTTGTAGACTTCAAAGTGTCATCAGAGCCAGACTTCAAGGCCAGCAGTGTAGAATGGCTTATCTGAGAACTCGTCATGCAGCAATTGACATACAACGATGGTACAAGACAAAGAAAATCCGACAAAGTTTTGTGGTCAAGAGAAAAGCTACAGTTATACTGCAAGCACATGTAAGAAGTTATTTGATGAAAACATCCTTTAAAAAACAAAAAACGGCAGCAATTTGTCTTCAGAAGTGGTGGAGAGACACTAAGACAGGACAGAAGGTTAGGCAGGATTTTCTTGCCCTAAGAAAAAGTGTTGTCATATTACAATCTCATATCAGGTCCTACCTTCTCCAAAAGAAGTACCTGACCCAGAAGTTGGCCGTAATAAAGTTGCAGAGTTACTTTCGTATGTTAATGGCTAGGAAGAGTTTTATTCGGGTGAGGCATGCAGCAGTTGTTCTGCAGCAACATATTAAAGCCACGGTGGCAAGAAACAAAGACAGGCTGAAGTTCCTCATACTCCGAAAACTAGTGGTTAAAGTACAAGCACAAGTTAGAATGAAGAAAGCCAGAAAAGAATTCCTGGCTTATAGACAAGCTGCAGTGGTTTTGCAAGCCAGAATGAAAGGTTTTATTGCACGAAGGCAATATTTGTTGATCAAGAATTCTGTTAAGAGAATAGAAGATCGACGCATTGCTACACTAAACTGTCGAAGAGAGAGAGAAAAGTATCTTCTGAAAAGAAATGCAGCAATTCTCATCCAAGCTACATATCGAGGATACACTAAAAAGAGAGATTACTGTATGCAAAAGAAAGCTGCGACAAAAATTCAAGCTTGTGTGCGAATGTACCAACAAAGATCACAGTACATGGAACTTTGTTTGGTTATCTACAAACTGCAAAAAAGAGTGCGTGCTTGGCAGTATGGAAAGGAAATTCGGAGGTATTTCTTGAATTTAAAACAAGCCACAATCATCCTGCAGGCACAGTTTAGAATGATTAAGGCCAGGAAATGTTATTTAGAGCTTCAGGCAGCTTCTAGAAAGATCCAGAAGCTGGTACGAGGATTTCTAGTCAGAAAAAGGTTTAGACATTTAAAACAAGCCACTCTTGTACTCCAGAAAAGGTACAGAGCCAAGAAACTAGCCAAGGTTTATCGTAGACGTTATTTAATTGTTCGAGGAGCTACTATCGCTCTGCAAGCTGGAGTCCGTGGCTGGAGGGTCCGGAAAGAAATCGAAATTCAGTCTTGTGCATGTGTTTTGATCCAAGCTCAGTATAGAATGTTTCGGCAGAGAAGTGATTATCTGTTAATGCGAAGGTCAGCAGTGATAATCCAGCGTCGTTACCGTGCTTGGAGTTTGGGGAAAAGAACCATATTACAGTACCATATCACTAAGGGAGCTATTCTAACAATACAGGCCTGGGTTCGTGGGTGGATATGTAGACGCTTACTGCAGAAGTACTGCAATAATATTGTGACAGTGCAAGCATGCATCAGACAATATTTGGTTAGGAAAAATTACATTCAACTGAAGCAAGTAGTCATCACCCTACAAAGACGATACAGAGCTGTCAAGGCTGGTAGGTCAGCAAAACAAGAATTTCACAGGGTTAAAACTGCAGTCGTTACAATTCAAGCAGCTTACCGAGGCTGGAGAGTTCGGCAAGAAGTCCGTCAGTGGCACTTTGCTGCTACAAGAATTCAGGCTTGCTTCAGAAGATACTTAGATCGCAAGTCTTTCCTTAAACTTAAACAAGCAGTAGTAGTTTTACAGAAATTTATCAAAGCATATTTGATGGGACAGAAAGATAAAGCTTTCTACTTGAGCTTGAAAAATTCTGTGATAACAATCCAGGCAGCATATAGGGGTTGGAAGCTTCGATCAACATTGAAACAAAAACGTGATGGTGCCATAACAATTCAAGCTTTTTATAGAGGACATCAAGAGAGAAAGAGATACATTGCAAAAAAAAGAGCGATCATGATACTCCAAACTAATATCAGAGCTTTTCTGAATGGAAGAAGGGAATTAGAACATTACTTAGTAATGAAGAAAGCTGTATTAGTAATCCAGAGCTCTTGGCGAGGGTACCAGGTAAGACAGCGCCTGAAGAAAGAACACCATGCAGCTGTAATCATTCAGAGATGCATCAGGGGATCTCTTGCCAGAAAGGACTTTCAGAGAAGAAAAAGATTGTTCATCAGGATTCAAAAGCTTGTGACTGTCGTTACAATCGTCCAGAAACTCAAAAAGAAAATTCTGAGGAAGAGGCAAGCTGCCACATTGGTACAGGCTTGGTTTAAGGGATACTTAGTCAGAAACAAATTGCAAGAACATAAGGCTTCCATTATAATTCAGTCCTACATGAAAATGTTTGTAGCAAGACACAAGTTTCTTGAAATCAGGGCTGCTTGTGTTACTTTACAAAAGTATGTCCGTGGAATGAGAAAGAGAGAGGAATTTTTACAGATGTATCGTGCAGTTATATTTATTCAGCAGAAGTTTAAAGCAAAGCTCTCTGGACGAGCTGAGTATAGAAAGTACCACTTGTTACGTAATGCATCCATTAGGGTGCAGGCTTGTTGGCGAGGCTACCTTGTGAGGAAAACACTTGGTCGTAATCGTCAGGCTGCTACCAAACTACAGGCTGCATATAGGACATATAGGGCAAGAAAACAATTCCTTCAGTTGAAAAAGGCAACAATACTTCTTCAACAAAGATGGAAAGCCAAGTTACAATGCAGGTTGCATCATCAGCGATTCTTGCAAGTTCGTCAGAGTGTCGTGATTATTCAAAGTGCTTACAGAGGCTACGTGGCAAGGAGAATTACAAAAACCGTGACTTCTGCACGTATCATTCAGTCAGTCGTACGCTGTGTCATGGTGCGAAAGAAATTCTTACTAATGAGATCCTCGGCAGTGAAGTTACAGTCTTGGTACCGTATGGTACTGACTCGGGGAAAATACCAAAAGAAGCTCAGGGCAATATATCAAATTCAGAAATACTTTCGAAGCTGGTTGTTAGCAAAAGAAGTCAGAAAAAGCTATCTTGAGTTTCGAAGGAGTGTGGTGATCATTCAAGCATGCTTCAGAGGAAGAAAATACAGAAAAAGATTTCAAGTTGTTAGAAATCATGTGGTTTATATTCAAGCCTCTTATCGAGGGCAAAAACAAAGACAGCATTTCCTTCTCCAGAGACAAGCTGTTATTGTAATTCAGCGTTGGTTTCGGGGAATACTTGAGAATAGAACACAAAAGATTAGGTTTGTCATATTTGTGTATACCAACGTAGTTAATATCATTTGAGAATAATTCACTAAATTTACTTGAATTTTTTATTTAATCTCTGATTCTATAAAACCAACACATTTTGTAAAAATTCAGCAGTGTGTACTGAATTTCATCCCATAAAATACAAAAATTAATAGAAAAAATTTAATAAGTTAAGATAGGTCATCAGAACTTAATTGAAAACTTTAGTGCTTCATTTAACCAATTTATTTATTTTTTATGTATCAAGATTTGGATAGATGCGAAAAGACTGATTTAATTAAAACATCTCAGATTTAGATGTACATGTTCTCTTCTGTTAATAATTTTTCAGTAGAAAATTGAATGTAAAACTATTAAATATTTGTATTTAAAATTTCACAGTCAAGTAATAGTAATAACTAATAATTTAAGAACATTAAGAGATGAGGATCCCACTAGGCGATTAACTTTGATATCAAGAACAGCTTTAAAGTGTAAATGTTTATTTCAAGCAATTAAAATCAACATTTCAGCCCACAGAAGTAGGCCATTTTGTGATTAACAACAAATCTTACAATGCCTAGTGATTTCCCACTCCTTTGGGATTAAATGGCGTCGTTTTAATTGCTAAAAAAAATATTTCCACTGTAAAAGTGTTTGTGGTATCAAATGTTATTTAATTTGTTTCTCACTTATTAATATTCTATACAATTTAATATTTCAAACTTTTGTATTTTAGTAAAAATTTTGTCATTCTTTTGAATTCTTCTCCCGCACAGTTGCATGTATTACACAAACTGTAATCAACAGTGTGTAGGAAATAACTTTCGAAAATGGTTATAGGTTTGAAAGATTACGAACCAACACAGTAAAGCTTCAGGCAGCTACAAGAGGTTGGTTGGTACGCCGACAAGTTACAAGGCTAAAAGCAGCCATTAAGATTCAGAGATGGTACCAAAGAGCTCTGATCAGAAAACGCTGTCTAAAAACCTGTCAGCTAGTGTTACTACTTCAGGCCAGGGCACGTGGCTGGTTGCAACGCCAGCATTTTCTTCGGATGAAGCAGCAGCACGAGATTACAGTAAAACTACAAGCAGCTGCTCGTGGTTTCTTGGCTCGAAAACACCTGGACGTAAGTAAACTGTTGGGTTTGATGTTTTAGTTTTTTTTTTCAAATATCTTGCATGGTTTTAAGACACTCGTAAATGAATGTTTTTATGTATCTAACGTCTGAATTTTCCATCCACTTATCAGGGAAAGTGATAGAACTGATTGTAATGTTTAGATTAATAACTGAAGAAATGTGTCAGTATGGACTTGCTGACTGAATAGAATGATTGGTTTACTTACAGAGTTAAGTGTTTATGTTAAAGCTTTCTGAAGTAATGAATTACTTATTACTGTTGGTATTTTGTATTATAACTGAATGTGTTAACATCATGAATAACGATCATGTGTTTTCTTTACCTAAATTATAGGCTTTATACGTTGCAAGAGCTGTCAAAGTTGAATGTTTTGTTACCATGGTATTACATCATCTCTCGGCTATACGAATTCAAAGATTTTATCGGCGAATATTAACCTTCAGGCTGGCCAAGAAACAACTGAATGCAGTCATTATTATTCAGGCTAGTAATCTTAGTTTTTAAAGATAAATGTTCATATTGGTTAGAGTAATTGGGCACTATTTTTTTTATGCATGAAGTATAAAGGTCTGTACACATTTCCAAGAAAGGGTGGGGAAAAAAAAGTGATACGACTGCAGAAATTTGGGAATAAAACCCGCATGTAAACTACCATAACTTCCACATTGCATTACAGTTTTTCAACCTAAATACTTGAAAATAGTTAACTGAAGAAAATTTTGTGTTAAGCCCCGATTTTATTTTTTTCTTTGGGCATTTCATTTTAGAATTTGTTTGTGTGTGTGTGTGTGAAGATCTGAGTCGTTCCTTTACTGTTTGTTGTAAGTAAGTAGTATTTTTAGTTTTTAGTAGTAGTAAGTTTTAGGGTTTTAGGGAAACGGGTAAACTTACGTAA